CTGAAATAAATGAACTTTTCCACGACATTCTAATTTATTGAGATGCACCTGTATGTGTTACTAAGCGTGAAAGTTCCGAAACTGAAGCTGTAGAACTAATAGAACGTGATGACACAGCAGAACTCATCCACAATATCCGCATTGACCGCCACAAATATCCACCGCCCCCTGCCATCAGCTTCCACGTCTCACACACACGAGCGCGACTTTAGCACTAGATTTATCAACTTTCAGACCCTTTTAGCGTTTTTTTTCCATAGAATATTCATACTGGCAAACCTAGTGACTTTTTGGATAAACCTTAGCTATGGTTCAGTTGGAAGATTTCGCCAGTGCTGTCCATGGGCGTAGCTTAAAAAAAATACCATAATGTACTGTGAAACCGGTATAATTTTGAAAAATGCCGTGATATACATTTTTGGTCATACCGCCCAGCACTAGTAGAAACTTTCATTTACAAGGACAACATGCTATTTGGATTATTAGAAATGTATTAATAAATACACTGCTGTAAATAAGTGAATAGCAAAAGTCAACATGCATAAAATATGTTTAAATGTGTAAAACAATGTCTTAAATTTTGATGTGAATATATTTATATATTAATAGTTGAAAGGCGCATAAGAATTGAAAACATTAATGTATAACTATTTAATTTAATCTTATATTTCACTTATTTGCAACAACGTGCCATTAAGGTTAATTAGACCCTCAGTAACCATGACTCATGAGATTAGTAAAACAGCAATGAACATTAAAACTTGATTGCACGTGACTTGAAAAACAACAACAACAACATGATCTTTGACCACTTTAACAACACTGATATAATGTGCTATTTAAATGTTATAAATAAGCACATTAATTGGCTACAGATGACCAAAAATCGCAGTTCTGTCTGTCTCACTCTATGTATTCCAATTTTTTGCCATGAACTTTTGATGTCTATACGAATCACACGACGAGACGATCATAAATTTCTGCCTAGCAATGTCTTGGCAACCACTGAGTATATCAACAGCTTAGTGATACAATTATACAAAGCACTGAGAGCCAAATTCAAATCTTTCTTAAAACTGCCCAAGTATTCAAACAACTTAAGACCTAGGCCTAATTACAAAACAGACCATCCTTTTCTACTAATGTCACTTGTGCTGTGCAGGCTTACAAATAATGTTAAGCAATAGCCAAAGCTATTTACAGTAAGCATCATTTTACACATATTCAATTCTAGAGCCATTCTAATGTGGACACCCACATTTCACGATCCAATTAAAACCTGAATGGATGCTAGTATGCCAATAAAGCACTCTGAAAATTGAAACTGAAAACTAAATTAATAAGACAGAGAGAAAGGAAGCTGTTCAGACTTCAGTACAATAGCTAAAAATATCTGTGCTCTATTACTCTCTCTGTGCTTCAGTGTTAGGCAGACCACCGCAGACATGATGACTAGTGGAGGCCGACCTCTAACTGCAGGTGAAATTAGTCACGGGAGATGTCAGGCTAAAGCTAATGAGGAGAAGTTAAATAGTAGCTGGTGCTTCAGATCAATATTTAATAAGCTGTGACTCATGACTGTCTGGTTTTCTAGCAGTATCACAGACCAGGGGTCACCAGCAGGGGCTGAAAAACAGCTAAATCAACCCAATTTATTTTGACAAATACACCTACAGAGAAAGAGGTATTGTCCCAGGAATACTCACAGGCTTAAAATAAGTTTACATTTAATTTTCATAACAAAGACATTTAAAAGAATAATAGTCCTTACATTTCTGTCATTATATTTAAGGGATAATGTACAGTTATTACAAACAAACCCTTTCAGCTTCAGCATAACTCAACGCAAAGTGGAGGGAAGGTTTTTTTTTTTTTTTGCATGGCTACTTATCAAATAAATTAATAAATAAGTGGAGGAAACAGTGATTTGAAATTATTTTTATTATGGTAAAAGAAAGATCACAGTGCAGCAACATAAAGAAATTCCTCCTTACCTTCATCATGAGAACGATGGTGTTAAGGGCGATCATCGTCAGTATGGTGTATTCAAATACAGGAGACACCACAAAGTGCCACAGCCGGAACTGTAAGGTCTGTCTGTTCTGGGGCATGTAGCGAGTCAAAGGTTTGGCACTGATGGCAAAGTCGATACAAGCCCTCTAAGAGAGAAATATACAGTAAGAATATTTCTTGAACACATTTGCAATTTGCAAAAGATTACATAAAATCGCTTGCACTTTTCTGCACGATTGAGGTCACAATGTCTGAGAAAAAAGCTAATATGACATTATTGATGGTTAAAGGGATAGTCTACCCAAAAAATGGTTTCAGGTTCCACTGGCTTCCATAGGACAAAAAATGCAATGAAAATGGTAGGGCTCAACCTGTGCAGAGCGCATGCCTTTTTTGCCCTTACACTCCGAAGTGCCCTTTGTTTGTTGGTGCTGTTTTTTTTCTTCAATAAATCAATGCTATTGGTCACCCTTTACGTCTGTCTGTCTTGTTTTACAAATATTTAGCCAATGAAAGGTATTAAAAAAAGCTTGTGACTAAATCTTGTTGGATCCGCTCAAACTGTCAGTAAAACCTCATAACTCCACCCCCTCTATCTTGACTGAATGAACTGAAGTCCCACAGCAGCTGAACGAAGTCTTGCTAGGGTAAATAAAGATCTTGTTGTTTGAATAAGTACAGCAATACCAAATGTATTTTACAACAGGAAAAACCGAGCACCCATATAGCTACAACAAACCTGTTGATGAAAGCGTAATGTGATGCCGCCATTTTAATGATGGACAAAATGCACATTTGCACACATTCGCTGGTCAAAACCCCCGTAACTGCATTTGAGTTTGACATAATGCGACCGAGTGATCCTCGTAAAATATATTTCTAAGAAATTTCTTCTTTGATTCATGATTGCTGATGCATGATACACTTAATTTCTTAACATTCTTATTATATGGTTGCATGGTTAATTCATGTTTATGCTGTTAATATGCACGTATTCACTAGCTAGCTAATTTTTGAATCTAGTATTCTATACTCTCTACTCATCTTCACATGTATAAATGTAGTAAAACATTTACTACAGTAATGTTGTAGTAACTAAAAAAAATTACAGAATCAGATCACTGTGAAATCTTTATATTTTATCATGCAGTATATATATATATATATATATATACATATATACAGTATATTCAGTTTCAGCACATGCCCCTCAAAACATTAGCTTTGGGTTGATAATGTATACATGCACATGCACAATATTTGAATGTCAAAATAATGTCTTGAATCTGGAGCACTTTTCATTTGAAAGGTCCTTTGAGACTGCTGAAGCGAAGAAAATTAATACTTCTTAGAAAAGCACTCATGTCATGTACACAAGAGCCAGCGCTCTGATAAACATTCAACAGCAAATCACATAAGAACATCAAGATTTTTCTTTATGTTGCCTCAAGTATGTGCAATTGCTTCTATACACATTACTACACACATGCACTTGGCTGGATTTGCAACACAAACATAAAAACGGGAGAACAGTAACCTCGTTTTTCTCCAGACTGCACTCCTCCATCATTTTGTCACCCTGCTCTTGGAAGGTGATGATGATGAGGGCCACAAATATGTTGACGAAGAAGAAGGGAAACACCACAAAATAAATGATGTAAAAGATGGACATCTCCATTCTGTTTCCCTGACTGGGACCCCGGTCCTCCTCGGTCACATCCACAGAGTGCTGCAAAACTCTACAATGCCAAAGAATCTAATTACAGACTAAACTATATACATTTATCTATGCTATATTATATTTGGACACTTTGTGGCTGCCAAACATTAGTGGAACAGGTGAATAGTTAATGTGATGAACCACATCTGTGGTTACTCTGCAAGGACACCTGTCTGAACTTGAGGGGAGCTGACTTCATACATTTACAACTACTTTAGAGTAGTTGGTTTAAAATCATTGCAAAATGGCTCAGAAAAGTGAAGTTAGTGCTCTAGCAACATTTGTTCAAATATGCCACTTGATTTGGAAGCCACTTGTCTTGCAAGCAATGTTTTTTGCAGTGCAAGTTACCTCTAGAATAGTGTCTCTCAACCGGGAGACCGCAGCCCACTATGGGGCATCATTGATTCTCCAGAGGGCCACGAGAATTAAATGTATTCATATCATTCATTAATTTTACAATTATTATGTTAAATTAAACAATTAACAAAAGACCAAATCTCTCCTATGTATTCTGAGCAGCCCAAGCCATTTCTTTCAGTGCTGTGAAATACAGACTGAACGGTGGCTCAAAACACCTAACCACTGCAGGAGCATATGATACGCAAATGACAGCTCTTGGTTGGATAAAACAAACCAGCGTCATGCTAGTAAAGTTTTGATTGATGACTGTAATTGAATTACAGTAGCATACAGGAGTCGTACATTAGGCGCACGTGAATCTGTTATTATTGATGCACAAACAAACCAGATTTAGGGGGGGGGTTTGCAGTATTGATGTGGAGAGGAGAGGGGCTTTGGAGTAAAAAAGGTTGAGAACCACTGCTCTAGAAAGTGAAAATGCGTTTCTGAATTAGCAGATATCAGCACACAGCTTCTAGAAAGGTGTTAAGTAGAATGCTTATCTTCTTAAGGTTTAATTAGTTTGTCAAAATGATACAGTGTGAAAACATATATACTAAAGTTGGCTCTTACTGCGGCCACCCTTCCCCAGTGGATACAGTGAAGAGAGTCAACAGAGCCCAGATGATGTTATCATAATGAAAATCACGTCTCTTCCACTCTCGTTTCTCCTTTTTCTTGTCTTTGTCATAGTCAATGTAGTAACCCCTATAAAGCATTAAGAAAAAACATTTCCCACATCATTTGCAGGGAAGATTTTGTGCTCCTAAAATGTAATTCTTCTATTCATAGCAGCATTGACATTTTCTAAAGTCTTCTGAGAATTGAATAATGTCTGAGCAGCTTTAAAATTAATTTTAGAATTATATTTAGAATTTATATTGCAGATGTAATGGGCACCCACTTGCACTCGTCTTCTGTGTCCTTGGAACTGTCGGTACAGTAGTAAAATTTCCCTTTGAAAAGCTGCACTGCAATGACTGCAAATATGAACATAAAGAGCTTGTAGACGATGAGGATGTTGAAGACATTTTTTAGCGATGTGACCACACAGTCAAACACGGCCTGCAAATCAAAAAGGGAGAAAGACAATGAGGTATAATGACAATTGTATTATTTCTATTTAACTTTATTGTTATTTCAGTTTTCATTTTGGTAATTTTAGTACTTAAACATATTTCAGTTAGAATGCCAAGGCAACATTTCAAATTGTATTTTCTTTTTTCTTTTTTGCATTTACATTTTTCTTGTAATATTCATATTTAATTTTATTTCAGCTTTATAACTGAAATTATGCATGCACAAAAATATGGACTGACAAAAATCTGTGCATGTAAAATTTACCTATTTGACCATTCTTTGGTGATATTATAAATATTTCAGTTGACTGTTGTGCTAAAGTGTTCTTGTAATGGTCAGTACAAAATGAAAGCCGTTAAAAAAGCAATCTTTTCCCAGCTGAGAAATTTGCAACCCTTAAGTCTCCAATGAAATTAGCTTTGCTTTAGAAAAGCAGTTGTCCTTCTGTCTCTTAAATCTGTCTCTCACATTTTATCACTTTGCCTTTTTTTCCCCCACACATTGCTGGCTCTTTTTCCACCTCTTACACCATGTCTCTCTCGTTCTTACATACACAAACCCAAAATACACAAACACACACACATACACACTGAGAGCTCTGTCAGACATGGCAAGAGAGTTTCATCACTTTCCCTCTTATTTGATCTCGTTCTGCTGCTTTGCTGACCAAAAATGAGCAACGCAGATACACACTGTTCAACTAATCAAGTATTCAACTAATTGCCTAATCCAATAATGTCTTGCAATTCAACAAAGAGTTGTACCTACACACACACAGACATTTTAAAAAAATCTTTATTTTGAAAGAACCCTCTTATGCTCACCAAAGCTGAATTCATTTGATCAAAATCACAGTAAAAACACATGATCCTTCAGAAATCATGCTGATATGCTCATTTGTTGCAAAAGAAACATCTCTTATTATTATCAATGTTAAAAACAGTTGTGCTGCAAATACTTTTGTGGAAACCATGATCTTTCTTTTAGGATCCTTTGATGAATAGAAAGTTAAAAAACAGCATTTATTTGAAATAGAAATCTTGTGTCAAACAAACAAACCTTTTGAACCCTGACTTGCGAACGGTTGTGTATTCCTTTCATGTTCACATACCTTGAGTTTGGGAAGTCTTTTAATAGTCTTAAGTGGCCTCAATACTCTGAGAACACGCAGTGATTTGATGGTTTTAATGTCTCTTCCAGTGTTACTCCTGTATAGCATGAAAACATATATAACTAAACAATACAAATTCCTAATTCTCATGTACAAGTACAAACACACACACACACACACACACACACACTATTATATGGCACAAAATCACAAGAGAATGTGTTTACCCCATCACATTCCTGCCAGATGCCGTGAGCCACAATCCACAAGAAGACCAACAGAGAAAAAAACGAGAAACAGACAGGCATTCTGAACCAGAGAGCTTCTCAATGAACAAAGAAATGCTTTACACTTACAACACAGAAAAGAGAGCATCAACTAACATCAATATGTGTCAAGAATTTGAAATGTCCGAATGTTTTTCCTCACATAACTCATGTAGTTGTCACACGGCATTAATGGAATTTGAAGATGAATAACAAAACATTTGAGCAATGTAACTAAAAAGCTTCATCAACATGTTTCAGATTTACCAACAGAATGCTAATTTACACTTGTCATATCTCATGTTTGGATTCATTTGACTCACGTGAGAGCAAAGGCCACCAGAGCTCCCACCACAACTATGAAGTCCAGAATGTTCCACAGGTCACGGAAATAGGAGCCATCATGTAAGATCAATCCCTGCTCAATCATCTGAGAAAAATATGATAACAACATACATAGTACATTTATGTTATACATTGCATATATACATACATACTGAGGAACATACAGCACATGAAAGCCAGAACAATCCATGAACTTACCTTGATTATCATTTCAAATGTGAAGACACCAGTGAATACATAATCAAAATAGCGCAGCACCTATTACACATAAAGACAGTAATCCAAAAAGGATTACAATGTCAGCATTAGCAAACAAGAAAATACACGAGACTTATGAGACATTAGCATTGTTTGCCACTGACTGCTAAATTTGAACAAGCCAGAATGTTGCTATTTTCATCATGGATCAACTGCCAACGTCACAGCACTGACATTACCCTCACTGTATAGGTTTAAATACAAGTTTGTGCATTTCTGAAAGGGAAAGAGGCGACTTCTTCAGCTTCTTCAACGTCGAGAACATAGCCTATGTAATTCGTTTACATACACACAAGATCTCATCAACTATTACTGGAAGAGTCTTAGCATGTAATTAGCTGTGGTTTTATACAGCTGGTGCACTGTCACTAGGGAAATTTAAAACCTGCAACAAAAATCTAATTTCTATTCGCTTGCAAACTATGCCAAACACTCCATGACCAACAGGGAACAATATCACCAGGACCAAAGAAACTCAAACATCTATCTACTGTGAATTTATTTATATTGTCAAAACTGAAAGATTTTCCTATGCATGCATTATGAAAAGTGTTAGGTCAGCATTTTTTTTAAAGACGACAAATTAATTTTTAAAAGCACAATATTCCATTTAGTATCTCATTTAATATGAGGTCATGAAACTTGCATGCCTTGTAAAAGCATAAAGAAATTACAGTTTATAGTAGTTTTAAATATAACCTGTCATACTGCAGAACATGAAAATTATCCAAAAATATTTATGTCATCTAATGATGGGTAATGTTTAAATTAAGTAAGTTAAAGATACTCAGCATTTCCTTAGAAGCACTTAATAAAACACAAATGCAATTCTAATTTAAACCATCTGAGAACTGTAGCAGAACTATTTACATATGGTTGTTGTTTACAAAATTATTGAAAATGCTGTTGACATGGCGGTAGAGGGGAATTCTTACTTTGTTCCTGTCTGAATTAGTGTTGACAGGGTCTTCAGCAGCCAAGGCGATACTGCTGGCGGCGATCACAAGAAGGATTGACATCTCGAAATAACGAAGATTGACAATATAGTGGCAGGCCCTGCGGACCCTGTGAAAGAGATGTAAAATAGAAAGAGTAAGAGATGAAATGAGAAAATATTCATAAAATATAGAATACAGCTGTGGTTCTATAAACATTCAGCCTTACAGGTTGTTGGGTTTGAAGATGAACATGCTGACAGGAGGAGGGGCTTTTGGTGCATCTGGGGTTTCCTCTTCTTTTTCTGTCTTTGAGGCCTCCACGTCTTTACTATTACCTGTAAAATCCAGGTATATATTAGAAATTGGGAGCTTTTACATTATGGATTTTTATGGTTATTTCATCTTAGTATAAGGCAAGGCAAGTTTATTTATATAGCACATTTCGTACACAATGGTAATTCAAAGTGCTTTACATAAAAGAAAGTAAAAAATCACAAAAATAAAACAAGGAATTTAAAAACTTTGAAAATGATTTAAAAAATTGATTTAAAATGAATTTAAGACAGAAAATGATTATAGAAAATAGAAAATGATTATACATACATAAAATACAGTGCAATCAGTTCGGACATTATATTCAGTGAGCAATGCTGCAATGTATTTAGGTCCTTGGCCATTGAGTGATTTATTAATGAGTAGAAGTACTTTAAAATCAATCCTAAATGTAACTGGAAGCCAGATTAAAGATATTATAGATAATTTATATAAAAAATATAATAGCTCAAATTTATTTTAATTTTTAATTTTAGTGTTATTTTTATGTTTATTTCAACTCAGTATGACTCATTAAATGAAGACAACTGGGAGCTTGTTGCACAATATTACTAATATAGCTATTGCATATAGGATAAATATCATGTATATATACTTCTATAATAGTATTATAACATTGTATTACATTACGTATTATAGATCTTCTATAGAATATATTGGAATATATAAAAGAGAAATTATTCATTTGCTCAAAATCTTTAAAGGTCACATATTTTACACCTTTCTGGGGTTTTATTTTAGGTTTTGATGTCCTTAAGAATATATATTTGCGGTATAAGTACCAAAAACCATCTCAATATGTTTTACAGCTCCTCTCTCGTTTGACAATATGGGACCTTTAAAAAAATGAGACTGCCCTTTTTGAGCATTAGAAATACATTGGAGTCAAAGTCACAAGTCAAATCTAAGGATTAACTCATTTATAAAGTTTTATGAAACATTACATAAGACTATGTGTCTAATAATAAAGTGCTAATAAAGTGTTTTGTGGTGTATGTAAAGTATTGTACTGATAAGAAAAAATTTGAATAAAATAACATAAGTTTATATTTGTGTACTTTCCCTGCTGAGAAGACCTGCATTGCTGGTCATGGTGTTACTACTAGGATTTTTTAAGTAGCTTAACCAGCAAAATTTTCTTTTGCTAAACAGCTTCACCAGAAAGAGCATGTTAATGGCCATTGCTAATGAACAGCTTGGTTCTGCTGTCTTCCTTTAGCTAGACCAGCACCAATCCAGCACTAACCAACAGCAATCAGTCTAGCTGGTCTTATCAGTAGGGTTCTCAGAGGTTCATGGATGCTCAAACCCGTAATGGAGGTCAGCTCCATGGAAGGCTGAGTGTCGGTGACCTCTATCACGATGCTGGTGTTGAGAGAGGACTTATCCTGATTCAAGCCTCCGTGGTTGTTATTATCGGTCTCGCCGGAACTCAAAGTTGCCTGTGGGGACTGCTGGAGCGTGCTGTCAGTGAGCTGCAGAGTTGCAGGTTCTGAGTCCTGAGGTGGGCTTTTGCGGGGGGAATTGGCTGGTTTGGTTTCTGATGATTCAGAGTTGTCTGGTTTGTTCTGCCTGTGGAAGAAGAGAAGTTAATAGCTGAATTTCTCTCTCCAGTCTTCCAACAAAGAATACTGTGTACTTGGCTATAAAAAATAAATAAGTACTATATGTGAAATTAATGTAAACTGTCACCATGAAGTTATGTGAATAGAGCTGTTCAGTCATGATGTCAATTTGTAGACCAACCTGAAAGGCCAATTTGCCAGTTTCCTCACAAAGTTCTAATGGGTTTTTGAAACAGCAGCTTTTAATTTATGAGTAAAATAAGGTTCGTTGGTTAATAGGGCTGGGTAAAAAATATCGATATCTCAATATTAATCGATTC